AGTGTTCTGCAAGACGAGCAGACATTCCTAATATGTTTTAACTTGGTAAATGAGCGATGTCTTGCAATACGAGTAGTTTGTTTCCAGAATGAATTATGCAAACCAAGGTGTCACTGTATATTCTTTAAATGAAGACATAATAGCTTAGTGTTCAAAATTGTTTCTTCAGAGATTCTCCGGAATCTGTCACAGTGAGGGTGTGATGATTTTTCAAAACATATATACAACATCATGGTGTTTCATTCCAAGAAGACTTTAAGAAACAAAATCATCAGATCAAAGGATGTGAAAGTGTTCTATTTCTCCCACCTTCTGTAGAACCATTTTCTTAAATATTCACAGGGTTCCTCAGTAGTAGTTCTCATTTGGTCAAGTAGCACATGCTGCCGATATTTATCCTAAATCCTTTCTCCTGAAATAACATTATACTCAGTGTCAACAGTATACATCTCCCCACCCTGGCACTGGGTTACTGAATTAATAAACGGACTCATCATTAGCTTCATAAGTCAGTTCCTTTAATTAATTTCCCATAGAAATTGGACTTGAAAATCTTTATGTCCAGCCATCTCCTCTCCTTTCTTCCTAACTTTCAAGGCCTTTGTAGTCCCTGTGTGAGCCTGTATGGCCCCTTTATTTAAATTAGGAATTGCATCCTCTAGGTGGATGCCACATCATGGTATGGCTTGGTGGGAGGGAGGTGAGCTCGATTTCGACTCCCACTTTCTTTTCCATTCGACTGAGTTGTCCTTATACAATGAACAAGGTTCCAGCCATACGCAGCGGTCCTCATCATTTTGCAGTCTCTCATCCCTTTATGGGAATCAAACATATGCCAGAACTTTGGAAGGGATATAATAAGCCAACTCAGAATTTGGTATAAAATCAAGTATTTCATAGCTATGAGGAATAAATACTTAGATCCAAGAAAATGTTGATATTATGATACTGAGAATCCCTAGAAGAGAAAACAGGCACAAGAAATTCGAAACCAAGTCCAGATAATTTTAACTTGGAGCATGCCATTTAACCTCAGGGCCAGAGAGTTTCCATATATGTAATACTGGATACATTTTTAAGATTCTTTTTATTATGTATTTTGGAGATCTGGAGGGCCTTTTGATACCCTTAAAACTTATCACTTAGAGAATTATCTATTTTTTCTGTTTCAAAGACTAAGCTAACACGGCTTTGTGGTTAGGTAGACGTGTTTTCAAATCTTGAGTTTTATATATCCTGGGTCAACTACTAAATCTTTTTGCACTGTTTTATCCTGTGTGAAGAAGGAAGTAGTGGTTTAAGTGGGATAGTGTTGGTAAGGCTCTGATATTTGTAGGTACCTGGACTTGAGAACATTGCTTTCTTTTCCTGTTCTGAGGCCAGCCCTGAGCAAACCTCAGTCAAGCAGGTTATTTTAGTATCTCAAAGGATTAGGATCATCACTGTGCTTGTGTTATATAAATAAATAAACAAAAGTTTTGTCATATGAAACTCTGAGATGGATTTTCAAAGAGCATTATTTTTATAAGTAAATAGTTTGATTTCATTACCATAAATAGCCCTATGACTATCTTGAGCAACATCAATTATTACTAAAAAATTGTAGATTCCTTTCTAAATGAAACAACTGAGATTCTCTTTTTAACTTATAGCGACAGAAGAAGGAGAAATTGGGTTTAAATTCCTTGAAAATTGACTCATTAATATTTATTTCTTCCAACTTCAAAGTGATTTATAAGCTGTTTATCAAGCTTTGATAACTAGTTCACACATCAATGAATTTAACAAATTCAAAATAAATTACTGGAGAGCCAGAAAATAATGACTTTCTCACATTCCCAAAGTAATCTCTGAGATCTAGTACTTCTAAGCCTAGTCTCAGTAAGCACATATTTTCACTTTAAGGAAACCACAGTGGTACCTGATGTATCATATTTCAGTTGGATGAATTTCGACTGGCAAAAAAAAATGTTTTCAATTTCCAGAGAAAATCATGTCTTCTATTTGGTAAACCGTTAGAGAAACACATGCCTGTGAATCCTTCATCTTTTGGAAATTTGGCCTCTGCACATGTAGACCATGGGAGACGGGGATCTCCAATTTGGCTCTTTAATAACTTCTGAGGTTGAAATGATTGGCAGTGGGAAGACCCATGTACCTCATGACGTATGTCTAAATTATTTTAGGAACACATTAGTTTACAAGATTGAATAATTTCTGAATAAATATTTCATAAAATTTTTAAAATGTTACATGATTTGTGATTTTATCTTTCTGAGAAATATTGTGGTACAAATTACTTGAGAATTATTACTGATAACCATAATTCTTTATTTCTACCTTATTTTCTAAGAAAGGGGAATTTTTTAACTGTCTTGTGAAGGACTGAACGCCTATAAAGGGAAATCTGGATAAAGATCTCTCATAGCAGTGGTCCATTGAGTTTGTGGACAGCTACAGTTGTTGGCAAGTTCATCCTTACGTGAATGTATATCTGCATTCTAACCTGGCATAGATGGTACTCTAAATGTATTGTAGTTCTTTGAAGATAGGGAATAAAGTCTCAGCCATCTTAGACTTCAGATATTTGAAAACTATTATTCTGCCTCTTGGCCTGACATTTTCTCCAGGCTATTCATTCCCAATTTATTCAGTTCTTCTATATATACTTTCTTTTCAAGATCACTACTTTAACCACACAGCTCTCCGTCTTGCTCTCCTGGAGGACATGCTGAGTCAGGAGAAGTCGGCTAGATTGGAGGGACCATCGGGATTGGTAACTGGTGGACCCAGGGATGGATCTTTTCATTCATTCCCTTATTGTCACAGCCAAATATTCCTCCTTCCTCAGTCTGGTATCTGGAGGATTCCTGGTTGTAGCCTCAGGCCTCTGCTAAAAGCACTTTTTTTTTTTTTTTTGGGGGGAAAACAAGGAAGAATAGTTTTCAGAAAATTGAAGGTCTTCCTCTCAATCAATTTTTGTGTCATGCGTTCATTTGCTTTCTTGTTATCAAAGTTTCTCTGAACTAAGAAATCTCTCATCCCAATAACATGAGCTTTTTAATTTTTCTGAAATAATTTTGCTTTACTTTTATAAGTGTGTAGCTGTTCATATGCATCACTGATGTTTTTAGCTGGTTAAGAATGATTCTCCTCCCCCTTAAATGGGGTAAGTTTTCTCTAAATTGGATACTGCATAAACATTTGTTTATTTGTCTTGATGAAGTTCAGCCAAGGTCTTGATATTTCTGTTGGAGTTTTTGTATCTCTCTTTCTACCTGGGTATTTTCTGAATGCTACAAAGATTTCTTGGTTGGAGTTTTTTCTAATTGTTTTTAAGTGCACTGATAGTTTTAGCTTCTACAGTTAGTTCTGGTACATTTGTTGTCCTTTTTTTCTTTGAGAGATTGTAAGCTGGTATTTAACTCTGTCACATAAATCAACAGTCCTTTGGATTCATCAATTAAGAGGACTCTGTTTTCTGATTTTTTGATATATCCAAATCCACATTCCTGCAATCCATGTTGTCTTCCCCAAGAGTAGCAGTGGAGTGGCTCATCTACAGCAAGTATTCACTTAGAGGCTTGATCTGACTTTATTATTAAAACCTTACTCCCCAAGCAGGCTTTCTAATTTTTTTTTTCTCTTTAGTAAATTTGAGATTCTTTTAAAATTTTTTTATTAAATGTATTGGGGTGACATTGGTTAGTAAAATTATATAGGTTTAAAATGTACATTTCTATAATACATCATCTATATATTGCATTGTGCGTTCACCACCCAGTATATGATGATGGAAGGAGAACATTTTGAGATTCTTTTGAAAGCAGTGTATGCTTCTCTGAAGACTGGACTTTTCCTCCACAGCCTCTGTCCATGCTGTCTGAAGCTCTTCTCCATTCTTGTTACGGTTTTTGAAAGCTGTTTTGGTTGCAGCTACTTGATGTTGAATTTGCTTGCATGTATCTTCTAAGGAATTAATGTTGCTTTAATATCAGCCGTCAGCTGAACTTGTATACATTTAGAATTTTCTTCTTTTCATGCTTTCTGTAAGTATCTAGTTTAAGCCCAAGTAAAGAGCAGTAGCTTTCCAGCTCTTTATTCATGGGCTTCACGTTTACTATGTCTTATAGTAACTTCTGAAGTTTGGCTTCTAGTATAGTTGATTTAAGGTCTCTAAACTCTCTTGCCAAGTGGCAAAACTTCTCAGCAATTTGATGTTTTTCCTCTAGAGGGACAGGCCCTCCAGTGGCCAGTTCTTTGTCTCTCCTTACAGAATAATAAAAGGTTTTAAACACAGAAATTCACTCTCTGATTATAAAACCACCATCTCTCCCATCTTGGGGAGCTGGGCCTGGGCTAAGTTCCCCTGGCACAACCCCCAGTGCTGGGCTCGGAGCCATCAGAATCAGCATTACACAGAGCACCGCAGCATCAGGGGGCACTCCATGGACCCCAAGGCCACTGATGTCCCACCTCAGGCTGCCATGAC